TTTTCTATGTAACATCTAAACCCGTATGAACTCATTGACAGTACATTAAGGGAATATGTCACTCATACTCTCGATATAGTGTCACTCATATTCCCATATGGATCTGGGAAATAATTCCTTATGCTTTACTCTGCAGTAGAACATTGATTATCCGGGGTAACTGAGGGGAAAGATACCACGGATAACTTTAACCTCGGTGTACCTGAAATGGTATAAAAATATAGTTAGTAAGTTAGTAGTTTTGTTTATTGTTTGCGTAAAAATCTGTGTTTGCAGCTCATGGTTATACTGAAGAAATCCATTTTCTTTCTTAAATTCAGTATTAATTAAATGTAGCCTACTTTTGGAATTTTTTATAAAACATAAATCATATAATTCTTCAAATCATAGGAATTATTAGACAAGTATTGGACACTATTTAAGAAACAAAATTTATTAATAAAAGGGCAAGCAAAACCACAAGTTGTAAGGATACCAATACTAATGTCAAAAGATGTAATGTTCATGGCAGCCATCTTCTAGTCTCAAGTAAGGTATCAAATGCTTTGATTTTCCTTAACAGAATTAAGAAACATACAGTTTTTATGTTGAATAACACAATGTAGTTAAAAACAAATAAAAGATCAGTTCCAATTTGTTAATCTGAATGTTACTCACATCTTTTTGAAAAATTCCACAACTAAATTATATTTCTCTCAATTATTGAATTTTAAACAATGTTCTAAGACATTGACTTTGGTATCTGGACAAATATTTTAGAATTATATACATAACCTTTTAGTGGCTGTTTGAAATTAATCCAAGATGGCTGCTAGCCTCCAAGGAATCTTAAGAAAGGAAAAGACTTTTGAGAGTGAATCGTTGAGCTAGAAAAAAGTAGATAATAGCTGCATATTCTCGTTGTTAAATAACTCATTCAAGATTAAAAGTGGACGAGTAAAATCATTATCAGTGTAATCGGTATTGGAGATGGAATAAGTTGAGGGTATTTTGGACTTTGGGGCGGCGGAGGGTATTGGAGGTTGTGGTAATCGTAGGAGTTGTATATGGCTATTTATGGTCGTAAAAATACTTTGTTTAAAACTTGTTATTAAATTTTACTATATGTCTGCCTACTTTGAATAATTTGAATAGTTTGTCCCAATTACTTCCGAATTTCAATTATTGGACTAAGGCTTCATCTAGCATGGAAGATCTAACTCTTAAGTCAGCTTAGGATAACCTTAACTAACTACCAGGATAACATCAGATTGTTAATACCTGGATTTGATCCTGTAGGACAATATTTTTTCTTAAAATACTGTTAAAATTTATTGGCAAATGGCTGGTTTTGAACCTGAGAGAGATATTTTTGCTTAAACCTCTTACCCACTGCACAACATTTCAATAACATAACAATGTGTTTAGGTTTACATCAAGAACACAGTGGAGTTGGTTGAGGCAGCTATAAGTCTACGCTTCGGAGTCTGGAAGACCAAATTATTCTCTGTTCCGAATGGTTCACACAAGGTTCATCTCGGATCTCTCAAAGTCCCGGCCGGACTAAAAATGTGGCCAAGGAGCACAACAGACTATCTGTGTCTTCAGATGGAAGAGTCTGAGGCTCTATACATTGAAAAACTGGTACCGTACACAATATTTGACATAAGTTAAAGTTACTGTGTTTTTAACATATAACTTTCAGTATATGTGTTACAGTATATCACCATGTCTATTGCATGATTGTTGTTGTATGGAAATTATTTTTGTGTCTGCCATAGCGGCAAAATGTTGACCATCTTCTGCTGCAACAAAAACATCATCATCCTCTTCCGCAATTGCGGCAAGATTCTAATCATCTCCCGGGGTCCTGTGGACAGTGTCATCGTCTCTTGTGGTCAAGGCAAATCTAAGTTCCTTGGCTGTTAATGCGCCAGACTGCTTCTCCAAAGGGGATCGGCAATTATTAAAAAATCTTAAGCAGTTTGCTGTGGTTCTTTGAAGTCTTTGAAGAGTGGATAATTGTTTAGGATCTGATGTGCTGTTGTTTTTTGTTTGGCAAAGCAATGTTGAAGTAACTGGCTTGTTTGATTGGGGTTTACGCTGTTCTGGAAAGTCTTCAATAACCTTCTCTTGGTAGGTTGGTCATGTGTATTTTGGATGTTCTAACCATTTCTGTCCGTACCACCAAAGATCGTTGTTGATGATTTGCGATGGTAATACTCCTCTTAAGATTAGGTTAGCTGGATTTTTCTTGTCACCTCACATGTTTCCATGTACAGTTATTAGTCAATCTGTTGATTTCCTGTACACGGTTTGACACAAATACTTCCCACATTGAGGGTTCTGTTCTTATCCAAGTTAAAACTATGCTAGAATCACACCACAAAGTACAATCTGAAATGTTTATTTTTACTTTATTGACTTTGGCAACTTATTTGGACAAAAGAAGTGCTCCACTTTCTAATCTAGATATAGTTTGCTGTTTCAAAGGAGCGACTCTTGATTTTGAGCACAGAAGCGTGACATTTGCGTCACCATTGTCATTGACCTTTCTTATACAAACATGCTCCATATGCTGATTCTGATGCGTCACAAAACCCATGAAGTGTTATCTGACCTGAATGGCCGGGTGCAACATTTCTAGGAATTCTCAATTCTTTGAATTTCATGTAAGTCACTTCTGAATTGTTTCCATGATGCGTGTATGTTTTGTGGGACTGACTTGCCCCAATCTAATATTAGAGCCCATAATTTCAGTAAAAATATCTTAGCTGTCACAATGACTGGATCAAGAAGGCCTAATGGATCAAACAGACCAGCAACATCTGATAAAATTGCCCATTTGGTTATGGAGTTAATGGAATTGTCTTTCACAGTAAAATGGAAAATATCAAATTTAGAGTTCCATTGCATGCCGAGATCACCGATAACCGAGATAACCGAGTGGTCGTCATCTGTGATGGTATTCGATGAGTTCTCCATGTCGATGGTGGGGATGGTTTCAAGTAGCTTAGGGTGGCTAGCACTCCACTTTATAAGGTCAAAGCCCCCTGCTTTGAGTAGCCTAACAGTATTATTTCATGCTGGAGCTGCTTAGCCTCTTCAATACTACTCGCTCCTGTCATCAAGTCATCTACGTAGAAATCTTCCTTTAATACCTTCTAAGAAAGGAAGCGTTTTCCTAGTGGCTGGTTCAATGTTCACTAATGCACTAACATGTTTGTTAACAATGATTCACTTATTGTCAAATCTTTCTTTCAACTACCCCCATGCTGTGGCATAGTTTTGAGAGGAGGCCTGAAGTGATGATAAAATAGGTTTGACTTTTTCATCGAAAGAAGTTTGGAGGTAGTTAAACTTTTCGACATCTGACAGGGAGGTGTTGTTGTGGACGAGCGAATCTGTAGCAATATAATTGGTACTTATACTTTCTGGGGTTGGACTGGTAACGTTACTATTAGGACTATTGGGATTGAGAAGGCTGTCAGCCCTTGAAACCAAATCGTAATATTGGTTTTTGAAAGATTCCCGCTCAATCTCCTGTTCACTTGGATTGGTGCTAAGAGTATCGATTTGAGACTGAATGTCCTCAAAATTGTTTAGTGCTGTTTCAAAGTTTTTGAATCTATATTTTATTTGAGATGTGTTGGCTGTATGCAGAAGAGAACCCATATAGGTGCTGAAACAAGTCAACCGTTTAGTCGACAATGCCTTTAAAGTATCTTCGTCTGTCATTTTTATTCAATAAGCTCTACGGTAATAAACAAATGGTCGAAGCAGGGAGTTAAAAATGGATTGATTAGAGAATTAAGGCCCTGGATGAAGTCGTGACAAGTTGTATAACTGTTGGTACACATAAAAAGGGTTTGATGTAATAGTATGAATGGGTCTGAGGAGGCACCAACCTTGACTTCTCCAGAACTGATTGGAGTTTCTTTTCTATACATCTAGTGCCCAATTAATAGCATTGAATCAAAACCACCATTTTGATTCTATCAGTCTCCATTTGGGCCTCATACTTGGCCAGTGCAACTAGTAAAATTCAATTAGACTGTAGCATCTTTTATACTATTTGTATGGTTCTATTCGAGAAGCTTATTAATAATAGTTTACAATGGAAAAAGCATTAGTTGCTGATTTAGTGTTATTTTATGTTACAGAAGCTGCAGAAACAAGAATGGGGAGGGGACGGAGAAGGTGGTGAGACAAGTCCAAATCCACTATAACTGCCTGCATGGCTTGCTGCATGGACAGGAGGAGAAGCTGCTGCAGAGACAGGAGGAGGAGCAGCATCGACAGGAGGAGGAGCTGCTGCAAAGACAGGAGGAGGAGCTGCTGCAGAGACACGAGGAGGAGCTGCTGCATCGACAGGAGGAGGAGCTGCTCTACAAGATCTGTGGTGTGAGCGACCAAGAGTTGGACAACATTCAAGTAAGTACACCTGGACATTATATTCCTGTGTTCAAGTTGTTCAAGGTTATGGAAACAATCAATAATAGAAAGTTAAGTTTTGTCATTGATTTTTCTGTTAAAATTTGTATGAGCGCTTTCTATGTATATCTATTATTAGATAATCCTTTATCTCGGTGGTTTTGACCAAATGGCTTATGTTTATAAAAGTGTAAGTCTGTCAAGCAAAGAGCCCTTTACATGTGTTAGGTAGCTGCCTTTAACCCATTCACTTATGATTTTTTTTTTACCCGCCTAGGCCAAAACAAACGAATTTGTTGTGGCTAGTTTCATTCATTTCTGATTTAATTTTTTTTCAGGCAACATTTACTATTTATATGCAAGATATTATTATTTTCTTATTCAAAATTAAATGTAGATTCAAAATATATAAATATTTCCCAAAAAAATATAACTATAATTTTTTATTATACCATATAAAAATAAAATAAAAAAATAAAAAAATTAAAAAAAACTTTTTTATTGGTAATTTTTAGCTACATAGGGCTCATATATGTTTTGGAACTAGTCTATAATACTGTATGACACTTATAAAAACTCACCAAATGTCAAGCAAAGTTCATTTTGGTGTGGTATGCCTTGAAACACTCTGGCATGTGAAGTGCGACAAGGCAGAGCTCACACTCCCATCGGCTGTCACTGCGCTTTCCCTGGGCACTGCACACCTTACATCTTCTTGAAGGTGTTTGTTTGACTTCATTTGGAGGAATAGGCCTAGGAAAATGTCCCCAAGTTGCTGCCTGGAGCCTCAGAGGTGTTTCTGAGTTGGATGATCGTCCTCTTCGATTGTACGGTGGCAGTTGTCGCGACTCAAACATTTGCTTGACAAACCTCTCCTTGAACTCACTGAACCCCAATTTTTTTCTGGTTAATTTTTTGAACACTACATAAGAGTTAAAAAGGCCAATGTCCATTATGTAAAAGAAGATCTTCTTGTATCCCTTAGCATACCTCCTCATACTAGGAAACGACGCTAATTGCTGATCCTCGCGGTCAATTCCACCCATTGAACGATTATAGTAGATCACTGGTTCTGGCTTTGTTATAATTTCTTGGGTAACTCTGTCTTTCTTGCCAGTTGATCTTTTGTCAGCTTTTTGATGAAAGGTAGACAAAATGCAAACTTGCTTCTTGTCCTGCCACCTTACTGCTAACATATCGTGGCTATAGGCTGTCTCGTAGTCGCCCAACTTAAGTTTACCCTCTTTGAAGCTCTCTGGCATGTTTGATCTCCACCAGTTAGCTGTTCCAATTACATTGAAACCTATTTGCTTAAGTCTATAGAAGAGAAGAGGTGAGGAGTACCAATTATCAATTGTCAGAGTATGTCCTTTTCCTGCCAAATCTTTTGTCATTTCAACGACTATCGCCTCACTCGTTAACAGCTTTTCCTCCTGTGTAGAATCCCCACTTCCTTCTTCAACTGGTACATTTTCTTTGACTTCAGCTCCAGTATAGATCTTAAATTTAGAACAATAAGCACTTCCAGATTCACAACACTTGTAAAACTTTATGCCAAATCTGGCTCTCTTCTTGGGATTAAATTGGACATAGCCCAACCTCCCTCGGAACTTCATAAGACTCTCATCGACAGCTATGTTTTCATCAGGTATGTACAGATGGGAAAACTTCCTGTTCATGTACTCAATAACGTACCTTAACTTCCACAGTTTATCATTCACAGGTTTCCTATTATTGTCTGTAAGGTGGAAAAATGTGGACAGTAGCAAAAAACGGCGGAATGGCATCACTTTACGAAAAAAAGGGGTCTCAGTTACAGCATTAGGCGACCAGTATGATTGTATGGTTCTTTTTTTTACAAGCGACATAAGGACACACAGTGTATAAAAACAAGCCATCTCATCTGCAGTTGTGTCAAACCATTCTGAGTATATAGTTTTTCCTACCCCGCCTGCTTCGTTCTTTTTCTTAATTGTTTCTTTGGCATAATTATTAGTCTCTGTTGCAACATGTTGCCAAAAGTCATTATCAAGAAACGCATTGAAAACATCTAATTCAGAGGGAGCTGAGCCTAAACTTCTAGCCAAACTTGCTCTAACACCAGGACAACCAGTAAAAGGGATTTTATTTATTATATTACTTTCTATGGTACTGGTCCACTGCCAACCCTCCTTTTTCTTCTTTTTTGGTGGAGCTGTATCGTTACTAGTTTGAGTTTTGGACCTTTTAGTAGGCTTAGATGGTTGTGAAATAGCTTTTTTTCCTATAGGCCTACCTCTTCCTCTAGACCTGCCCCTAACAGGTTTACTTTTAGGCCTAGGGTCAGGAAAGCTAGGGTCGTCAGCTTCCTCACTCGGTGTAGGTGAGAGGGCAGGCACGATTGAAGATGCAAGCTGGTCAAATATTTCAGGCCTACTAGACAAATCTGAATTATATTGGACAGTAAGGGCATCTGGAGGGGTCATAGGCCTAGCATAGCTGCAAGAAGGCTGTTCAAGCAACAACTGGTCACTTTCTAATGGCCTAGGCCTAACACAATTAGTATTATGTTCTGGGGAAACTGTGGTCTCATAATCAATAGGCGTATTAGACTTATTACTCACTTGAATTCTGCTCCCTTCCAAATCATCATCATCACTCCAACCACTCTCCTCAAACAAGTCACAATCACTGTCACTGTCACAATCCCCTATAAGTTTTATGATGTCACTTTCATCTAACTCTTTTCCACATTCATCCACGAATACCAAGTTATTTTGAAGACTCATCGTATTATACAAAAGCTTTTCAATTGAATAATATAGTAAAACAAGATACTGTAGCTCAATCTTTATCACGACGAAGTGAAACACGACATGATAGGCCTAATAACTCAGTCATTATAACGACGAAAAAGTAAAATACTGATAAAAACTTACACTAAGTAAATTCTATAACTTATTTTATAAGATAACTACACTTTTCAATAAAATAATAAAGTAAAACAAGGCTCTAACACAATGTTTACATCGTCGAAGTAAACACAACAACGTATCAGCTGTGAAACCAGAGTAGACGTCGTCAGCTGCTAAGTTGCACCATTTCAACTTCAGTTTTTTTGCCGATTGGACTGGACTGAGATGACGAAAATATAACCAAAAGAAAGCCTGGAAATCATAGAACAAGAAGCATATGCGATCTATTGGATTTCTGGGGAACTAACTCGGCACAAACAGGTTTTAATAGCGGACGGCGATTCGCCGTCGCTTCACACAATGGCTAACGGGAGCGCGACGGCGGATCGCCGTCGTTGTAAGCGAAGGGGTTAAGCAGGTTTTTATGCTGTTTTTGGAATATTTATGACTCTCTGTAAGGTTTTTCAATGGGTGTAAATGCCAGAATGGAATACGTTTAAGTTCCTATAAAATTTTTTCGGCTTAATCCAATCCAGTTTGAAAGCAATTCTCACAATTTGCTATAGTTAACCCCAATCTATCTAACTGACAACGACGATCTTTCTTACTGACAAGAGTTAGTTTAAAATCAGAAAACTCACTTTTATTAACTTAACAAAAATTTATTGAATTTGTTTATCCGCTAAGAATGTCATCTTCAATATATCTCCAGCTCCATTCAATTGCGTATGTTTAAATGTGGTGTGTAGGTGTTTTCTAGGATATTAGCACGGTACAAAATTAGTCCAAGCTAAAATATTTGTTTATATTTCAAAGTATATGATTATCATGTTTCGAATAAACATTGTATTAATTATTCTTTTAGCAAACCCAACATAAAACTTGTGGCAAACAATTCTAGGGGGGGGGGATAAACTAATGTTCACCAAAGTCAGGCTAGGCCTACCCCTAGAACCAGCTACACTCAAATTTATTCCCCAGAGTGCTCAGAAGGAGCTGAGAAATAATCCAGGGGTTGATACGAAGTTGTCACAGCTTTGACTGACCAATTTATTAAAATTTAATCTAAGGCTCCTAGAGCTCTATTTCATCCTCACCTTGGTTAAAGTGTTTTGTAAATTTTGCCTAACTTTTATACTGACTTTGTAAGACCGACAAGTATTCTATCTTAACCAATTTGATAGAACTACTCGTGTGAACTTTGAAACAAATGGTTAAGTTCACACTACACCTTTTATATACTATAGTGTTTTGTGATCAGTTACTATTTGCATGTTGTATCATGACTTAACTGTAATACAAATGTATATTTTTTCACTGCTACCTTCTGTAGTGTATTCCAACTTAGGTTGGGCGTTTGTGTATTGTTAGTTGTAATGTGTTAGTTAAGTTTTTTCACCTGAAGACGGGGATAAGCGAACGGAACAAATGTAATTTCGTAGCTAATTGATAATTGATTTAAAACAAACTGAAAAATAGCCACCGGTAGTCACTGGCTGGCAGGAACTGGCGGGTATTACACAAGTCGGCGATATTTAAGTTATTAAAATTTAGACAATAATAATCCAACTTGAACGGATAAAATAAGTGTCAGACGAGTATGTGTAAGTTATAACAAAAAATAAATGAACATAGGAAAGTCTAAAAATAAAACGTAGCTAACCTGAATGGATAAAGTAGTATTATGGTGTGATCGTATATTCGTGTAAGAAGAGGCTTCTCGTGAGCGGGTCAACAGTCGAACAGTGAATGAAATTTTATCCGGCTCAAATCAAGATTTCCTCGGCCGAGGCTTAAGCGCTCTGGTGGTGAGTTCTAGAACCAGCCAACAGCTGATCGGAAATTCAGCTGTTGAGCCGGTCTAGTTTTCGTCTGTTGTCGGTCAACAAAGAAACACCAGTTTGCGGTTATGTCGTCGACGGCATTAAATACTTGTAAAATTGGTTGGTTTAACTGTATTTGGTGAAATGGAGGGCTATTATTAATAAATATGTCGAGTGAGTGTGTGTATGTACTTCACTGTGATTAAAAATAGGCTTACGTTCTTTGGCCCATAGCCTAAGCCAAAAACACATAGGCCTAGGAGGAGGCTATTGTGGATAAAAATCGGGTAAGTTCTGGTGTTAAGTTATTCGCAGTACGTTTTACCCCTCTTAAAATTTGGTACCTTACAATCTTTGTGCCGTAATATAAAATCTATCCTACCTGGTCAAAACTGGAACAGAATTTGGAGTAAGAGTTTATTATGGTACAAGAAAACTAAAAATCATTTTCTAAATTTCCAAATTGTTTAACATTACCTTTTATAAACACATAGACTCCCAATTCACATCAAAATTAAACACCAACCAATAATTATTCACATGTGAATTCGTAGTTCACCTTTTCATTGGGCGGTCATTAATTGTGCCGTGTTTTTTAGAACAAAGTCCTGATGTACAGTTCACATTTGAATGACCTGGCTGCAAGCAATTTGTACAAAGTTTGTGTTATTTGACTGTGGCGATTCTTTCCAATGGAGATTTTGACAGAAATTTAGGGCAAATAAATAGCTTATGATGAGCATTAGCACAGGGCTGGCATTGATTGTTAGTAGCTACATGACTAAAACTAAACCCTTGGCCTTTTGGTAGATTTACATTATGGTTAATCCTACCTTGTACCTAAAAACTGGAGAAAACTTTCCATGGAGAGGACTTTTTTAGTTGTGTTTTGGTTTTCCCAATGACGTAACGTGAAGGAGTCAAGTTTCTTTGTTAATAAATAAATTAAAATTGCGTCCCATTTGTTGACAGGCTGCTCTAAACTATTCAGACACCTGATATGTTTGTTGATAGTATCTAGGATGCTTCTAAGAAAGGAAGCGTTTTCCCTAGTGGCTGGTTCGATGTTCACTAATGCACTAATATGTTTGTTAACAATGATTTGCTTATTATCAAATCTTTCTTTCAACAACCCCCATGCTATGGCATAGTTTTGAGAGGAGGCCTGAAGTGATGATAAAATAGGTTTGACTTTTTCATCGAGAGAAGTTTGGAGGTAGTGAAACTTTTCGACATCTGACAGAGATGGGTTGTTGTGGACGAGCGAATTAAATAGGTCGTGGAACGGCATCCAATAATCATATTGTTCACCAAATTTAGGGAGGTTTATTGCAGGTAGCTTTACACTAGAGTGTGAGCTGTAGCAGTAGAATTGGTACTTACACTTTCTGGGGTTGGACTGGTAACGTTACTACTAGGACTATTGTGATTGAGACGGCTGTCAGCTCTTTAAACCAAATCATAATATTTGTTTTTGAAAGATTCCCGCTCAATCTCCTGTTCACTTGGATTGGTGCTAAGAATATCGATTTGGGACTGAATGTCCTCAAAATCGTTTGATGCTTTTTCGAAGTTTTTGAATCTATATTTTATTTGAGATGTGTCGGCTGTATGCCAAAGAGATTCCATATAGGTGCTGATACGAGTCAACCATTTAGTCGACAATGCCTTTAAAGTATCTTCGTCTGTCATTTTTATTCAATAAGCTCTACGGTAATAAACAAATGGTAGAAGCAGGGAGTTAAAAATGGATTGATTAGAGAATTAAGGCACTGGATGAAGTCGTGACAAGTTGTATAACTGTTGGTACACATTGAAAGGGTCTGATGTAATAGTATGAATGGGTCTGAGGAGGCACCAACCTTGACTTCTCCAGAACTGATTGGAGTTTCTTTTCTATACATCTAGTGCCCAATTAATAGCATTGAATCAAAACCGCCATTTTGATTCTATCAGTCTCCATTTGGGCCTCATACTTGGCCAGTGCAACTAGTAAAATTCAATTAGACTGTAGCATCTTTTATACTATTTGTATGGTTCTATTCGAGAAGCTTATTAATAATAGTTTACAATGGAAAAAGCATTAGTTGCTGATTTAGTGTTATGTTATGTTACAGAAGCTGCAGAAACAAGAATGGGGAGGGGACGGAGAAGGTGGTGAGACAAGTCCAAATCCACTATAACTGCCTGTATGGCTTGCTGCAGGAACAGGAGGAGGAGCTGCTGCAGAGACAGGAGGAGGAGCTGTTCAACAAGATCTGTGGTGTGAGCGACCAAGAGTTGATAACAACATTCAAGTAAGTACAACTGGACATTATATTCCTGTGTTCAAGTTGTTCAAGGTTATGGAAACAATCAATAATAGAAAGTTAAGTTTTGTCATTGATTTTTCTGTTAAAATTTGTATCAGCACATTCTATGTCTTGTTAAATTAAGTTCCTCCATTTTACTCTTTTTTGCTTGTTACAGTTTAGGTTTACAGTTTCTCCATACATTTTCAAAAATCTTTTGAATCCTTTATTTTTAACATTTTTTCATCAACAAAAATGGTACGACCCCTAATGTTGTAAAAATTAAGTTGTTGCAACTTATGTGATCTTACCCATGAAACACCATAGTTGATAAGTTGGTGTATCATAACGTAAGTATCATAAGTTGAAAGTTGGTATATTGTTAAAAAAATTTTAGAGGTGTGCGGATAGTGAAATTTCATTTCGGATCGGATTCGGATCGGATAGTTGAGGCTCGGTTCGGATCGGATCGGATATTGGGAGGTTCGGATTCGGATATTTTCGGATTCGGATAGTTCGGCGCGGTTAATAATAAGCTGCATATGCATTTTTTACATATAAAACACTGTAAAGCTGTGTAAATAAACATAAATGGCAATTTTGAATCATAAAATTTCAAATTAGCCACGTCCACAGTTTTTCTCTCTTGAAAATCACAATTCACAACATCTATTTTCAAAAGTTGGTTGCTTGAATTAAGTACACTAGCAGCCGAAATCTTCACACAACACTTAAGCTCAGCAGGACTGATGTCAAAACGTTTGGGTTTGTTTACTTGAGGTTATGTTTTATGTTGTTTCCTGGTTCTCACAAGACAAGGATTTCTATCTCAATTTTATTTTCACATTGTATTTCCTTACGTTTTTGGAACAGATTATTGGCCTTAAGTGGCATTCTTGGGGTTTGCCAAGTTTAGAAACCATCACTAATACACTAAACTGGGCTCTAGATTTGATGTTGTGGCAAGTTAATTAGAGCAATTAGGCTTTATAACTCTGTAAAAGGTGTGTATCCCTGAATTTATAAATTTCATTCTACACTTATTCACTGCCAAACATAATTCAGTAGAACCTTGATGAACCAAGAATTACACTAGCCTACATAACTTCATTACCCCAAGTAAAATACCAAGATAAGTTTTAAAAGTTAAAAAGTTATAAGTTTGTTAAAAATGGATTTTAAATTCAATAATTATTGCAGTCCATTATTGTTATGCAGTATGGTCCCAAGTTATTGTTTTTGATTTTGAAACATCACAGTTCATTTGAAAAAATTAAAGTTGAAGCAGCCCAAGGTCAACAAGTCACGCGCGTGTGCAACAATAGTTTTTTTACAAGCTTTCTCCAGACCACTGGGGAGGGTCGGGTCTGATAAGCCGTCTATTGTTCACTTCAACCCTCATTAGTGCCGCTCGGCTGCACTCAGTGGGGAACCCAATACCACAAATCAATCTTTTAAATGAATAAACATATTTGGTAATAATTGTTTTATTGATATTCACCTTGAAATTCCAATAAATTTGGTGTAAAATTTGACAAAAACCGGCCAATTTATTAATACATTACCAATCAAGTACATTGGTAATTAAATAATAGGTAAAAATTAACCGATTTTCGTCAAGTTTTACTCCCTGCTGTGCTATGTCACAAAAGCTGATAACGATATGGGCAACTAGGCAACTTGTTGAATGCGTGATGAAGGGAAACCCAAGAAATAGAAGAACAAAGAGAAAGTATAATGACGTTGTTATCTTTATACCCTTTTTACAATTAATTGCTGTTATTGTTATTATCTTTATGTAAGATTTTATGATTTTGTTTTATAGGTTTATAAAATAATTCTTTTTAACCACGGGAATATCAATTTATAATTTATCAACGTGTTTCTCCTGAAACAGCAATACCGGATGTATAATAAAGGTCAATGACCTAAAATATCTTGATTGTGCAATATTGTATTTGGATGTTGAAATTCAAATCATGACAAAAGTTTGTATATTTCCCCTGGTCCCTATCATTTAATCATTTAGGGGCGGTTCACGAGCTCGGGACTATCGTAGTCCGAGCCCAGAATCCGGAAATAACCGGTATTTGGGCCGCGACTTAAAAAATCGGGTTAACGAGCTCGAGACTATATAAGCCGCGGACCAAACTGATAGGCGGCACTCAATTAGTGCAGGGATAAAACCCGGTTTTAAAAGTTGGGTTCACGAGTCCAATTACAGATAGGCCCGGCTTCTGATCATTAGTCCCGGTGGGTTCACGAGTCAAGTCCGAGCCCAAATGAGATGGTTCGGGCCCTAAAGAACAATGGTGTTTGGTCTCCAACTCAGACCTGGTAGGAGGCAGGTTTAAGGTGACATCATGCCGGTTTTATCTAATTGGCTCCTTTATTTTCATTATTTTTTAAAAACTAATGTTTAAATATGGTTCCTCAATAAATTCCGAACAATTCCATTACCCACAAAACCATATTTAAAAAATATGTAAAAATGGGAAAAAGGCTCATAAAACATGAAAAAGACAACTCAAAAAACAACTTAAAACGACAGATAAGTTATGCACCGAACAAAGTAGTATCATAACAAAGATATTTTTACTGATAAGCCCCATGTTATTACAATTTTAACGACAAAATTATGCATAGAATATAAATATAACTAATCAGCCTCAGTTAAACCATCGTTATATAACATAATTATCATAAATAGTTTTTTTTGCCGTGGGAAACATCAAGCAAACCGTCAGTCGTTGAGTACGGTTCGCGGTGATATCACCGTCTTGTGTTGTACACACTGGTCGCCGTGTGTATTGAATATGACTATGAAATATCTATAGGCCTACTGTATTATGTTAACAATTATGTACCATCACTCCACTACCTCGCATAGGACCAGCTCGTTATCATGACTAAAACCTAAGGGAGTATGTTTTATCTATGCTAAACCCCTTTTATGACTTGATGAATTTAAAGATAGATTTAAATGTTTCCAAAGATGCCGTCAATGAGTCATTTGATGCGTTCACTCCAAGGCACGGATTTCCCGACAGTAAAATCCATTACAGTATTCTAAATTGAAAAAAATGTTAGTTGCACTAATATTTTTGGCTGATGGCACTTTTCATTGAGAAACTAGTGATTTATTGGATGTTGAAAAGCTTGGGATGGTAGCTATTTGTTTGGCAATGGAAGCAGAACAAATCAAATTTTCAGTTTGAAACTATGCCCAAAGAAAAAAAAAGGATTTCCTAAATATAAACGCATTGTAATACCAATGAAACAGATTTTAAAAATTGCAACAACACAAAAAATGTTAAATAAAAACCATAGCTGTTAACATAAATAATATTACGAGCTAACTGCAGAATATTTTTTTTAACATTTTCCAGTTAGATTGTTAAACAGTGTAAGAATAACGGAAAGAATATTCCTATATTACAACCACGATTAAAACCAGCACATACCTACGATTTTCATATCAATAATCAGTACCTGTAAATACATTTTAGCTTCAATAATTGTACCATTGAAATAAGTTTAGTTAAAATTATCCTATCCAAAATACCATCCTAAATTATCGGGCAATCATGCAAAATAGGCATTCATCTGGTTATAAATACCCAGTTACTTTATGTCATGCATCTTAATTGAATTATAAGAATGCACACAGAAAATATATTTCACTACAGACTTCCATTATCTGATTTCATACAAACGTGGTTTGTTTTGTTTATAAATCAATAAAATTAGATAGATTATTATAGGTGAGCATTGGGACAATGAAATACGCGAAAAATAATCGTTTTGGACGTTTTGGTTCAGCCTTTTTCACGATCATCCTATTGTATGGAAGTGCGTATGTCAGCAGCAGCGGCTTCACATGTGTTTCCAGACTGTTGTTGGTTGTTACCAACGTCTCAACAGAAATTCCCTGCGAATCCCTGTCATTAGGCTCCGCTATGGATTTGGTCTCGACCTACACTGGGCCCGGCTTTCACATCATTAGGCTCTGACTCGTGAACCCATTTTTTGGTCGTCGCTTATATAGTCCGGGACCAACGTCTGGTCGCGGACTATGAAGTCCCGAGCTCGTGAACCGCCCCTTAATATACACAATCAATACTAAATAATCGTGGTTAGTTCTAATTTTATTTTTGATTATTCAAAGTTTCTACACAATAAGACAATCCAAAGTCAAACCGGGCAATGAATACTCGAAAAACAACGTATCTTGTCCTGTGATTGGAATCCAACTCGCCAGTCCTTTAGATTTAGGGAAGTAGTGCAAGTCTATATATAGCTTCAAGGTCGTTGGAAACGTATTGCTGTAATTTTGTCCAGGGAAACTAATGATGGTTATGAAGATTTAGTTTTCTGTCCAAAACGTCAAAATATGTTGTCTATCCGAAAAAGTCGGATATATAACGGATAGTATCGGATATCAAATTTAGGCTCGGTTCGGATACGGATATCCGAACCGAACCGAATCCTACCCGATTTTTCGGATAACTGCACACCTCTAAAAATTTTAAATGTCATATGTTTATCTAGTTCCTCCTAGAAGATTGAAAAATTACACTAAGTATTTGTTTATTTTAAAAAAACTACAGTTTTTTTGGTACTTACGTATTAAACGGAGGCCACATTTTGTCAGCGCGCTGCGGCGGTTATGTTAGGTTGGGTTATCGTAAATATTATGTGTGTAGGACTTTCCTTGCTTCGTTATGAATCGATACCAGACAAGTTATACTTTCTATTATGATAACCCAACCTAACATAACCGCCGCAGCGCGCTGACAAAATGTGGCCTCCGTTTAATATGCAAGTACCGTTTTTTTTTTTAATAGAAAATTAGTACAAAATATTTGTTATAAAGACTCATGTGTTGAGTAATCAAAATCCTTCTGGGAGGAACTAGTATGTCAGTATAAAATATGTGGTAAAAAATTTTTTACTTCTGAGCACAATTTTTAGGGACAAATTTCTCTGGAATCGTCGCTGCACGCTACGATTTCACGAAATTTAAAACCTTCATTGGCATACCTAACCCTAATTAAAAATCATTTAATTAAATCATCAACTTTTTGTATACGTACTGAAATTCCCAAGCAATAAAAATCAAAGCTAATAACAAACACCATCCTCAAATTTGACCCTTAACGAATCATCTCATTAAACTTATAGGAATCGATATTGTACGCTTTCCAACACGCTTTGATAGTATTTGACATAGATTTCCGCTGATAGTCAAACTCTAAATTATTTAAGCTTGTTTAGAATCTTGTAGGCTAAATATAGTTAGACACCTCTTTATCACTTTAAAGCTTGTATACTCGTTTAAAGTTAAGTCCCAATTAGGTACATAAATAGTACATGATCATTAAACTCTCCTGCCATTGTCCTTATTTATTTCAATCGGTGTGTGTGTAATAACTTGTAAATGTTAAATAGTGAAATATAAGCTAGAGGTTTCGTCATAGCACTTCTGTATGAGCCGAGTTAAGCTTGTTGACATTTATCAATGAAATATTGGTGAGCGCCGATGTTTTTCAAAGTTCTATTTAAGATGTACCTTTCTATTTTAAATAATCTCTGAAGCAAAGAGATGTGTTAAAGAAATCTCTCCATGTAAAGCCATATGATAATTTCTTTTGTTTGGAACTTAAAAACAATATATATGTTGCATGACATTATATATTTACAAATTTATTGGCACTAAGATTTTATATAGTATTCTATTTTAAACTCGTAAAACAGCTAAGACTAAATTATGACAACAATTATTTGGTGCCGCGTGCCGTGTGTAACTGACGTCGAGTGGGGGTGCTACCCTCACTCTGGCATCTCATAAAACATCCCTCCACTACTCACGGAATTTGGGGACACTCGTCAGAGAGGACAAAGCTAACACCGATTGTTCACCTTCCTGTGCGATGCATATTGTTGATATTATAGCTTTTGTACATAAGACAAAGCTAACAACCATTTATCATTGTTTCAAGAGATGCAGATATTATAGCCTCTATATCACATTCGTTGATAAGACAAAGCGAATGTTGATGGTTCATGATCCCTTAATGCAGATGTTTTTGATAGTATAGCTTTAACATCATATAAGACAAGTCTTTCTTTTTGATCATAACTTTGAAATCCCATTCATTGATAACAATATGATGTAATCGATTGCTTAATCTCTATTGAGATGCAAATGCTGTTGTCGCCATTGTCAGTTCTATACAACTTTTTTAGATGAGACAAAAATCACACCAATTGTCCAGTACCGCTTGTTAAGTAGATTGTTCTTGCGATATTAGCCTCGATTTCTGTTTCATGAATAAAACCGTAGTAAGATCGATTGTTCAGTCTCCCCTGATATGCAGCCTGTTGTTATTAAAGCTAAAAAACAACAAAAAATCATCTTGGATAAGTAAACACATACCAAATTTCGTCAAAATCAACCACCTGTGTAGATTATAGCTTTGTACACATCAAAGTCAAAGTCAAATCATCTTTATTCACAAAATGCACACATGAGGATAGTGTCAAATCAGAAAAAATGGCGATTCCGCGCCAAAACGAAATAATTAATTTCAATAAGCACTTGTACTACAAAATGTTCAGAGTTTATGTACAATCAAATTAGTGTTTACCACACAGAAAATTGTGAGAGAGAGTTTGAGACTTGAGTTCAGTGAAATAATAACGAAAAATAAACATGTGGCTTTTCAAAGGACGCCGAGTCAAAGTTTAAAGTTGCAAAGTGGCAAGTTTCCAAAGCGTGATTCAAAGCACATCCGGCTCGAAGGACCAAAATGTTCAATATGAGAGTTAATAGAGATTAGAAAAACAGTGTCATATACCTTTTAATGTGAAAATCCAACTCTGGAAGGTTGCAGGAGGAATGGGGATTGGGTGAGCTCACCACGCTGAGGGACACACAAGAAGATCTGGAAGTTCAGATGCACTACACACTTCGAAATGGGGAATTTAGTACTAGTAGTTTTTGGTAGATATTGAACAATGACATTATTACTTGATACGTCCGTTGTAAATTCCTTTTCAATTTGTATTTCTGAGACATTGTCATTTTCAATAAACAAGCAATACTTTGTAATGGACCTAAAATATTCGTCAGCTTTCCGGAATTTCTCGATTAGTTTTGCACAATTTTTAAGATCAATTGTACATTGTTGGCACACTCTGTGGGGTAGACCATCACAAATTGATACCTTTTTTAGTAGAACTATATCACTAATTTTTCTGATTTCCTTTGCATCAGCAGTGTTAGAGAAAAGTTCAACATAGGAATGAGGTGCCTCATTCATACAGAATCTGCATAAAATTAGCAGATCATGTTGTCCGCTGTATGGATTTTCTGATATTTTCAATGTTAGACTCCTCAACTCTTTAGGTTCCAAAAGTGGCTTGGTGTAATACGTTAGAGGAAACTGCGGCTTCTCAACAGAAAATTCTCCAAAGTCAAAAATACACTTATCCATAACGTCTCCTTCAAGCAATTCAATGCTTAGGAAATCATCAGGAGTAGAGGTACAGTGGTCTTTATACTGTGATAACTGTGATTCAGACCTCGATGGGACCAAACTGCAAATATTATTGACTAGCGATTCAGACCTTGATGGAACCAAACTGCAAATATTATTGACTAAAACAGTTGGTATAGGGTTGAGTCTTCTTTTCAAAACTTGTTTAGTGCCATCAGTAAACCACTTATCCTCAAAGTGGTCTTCACAGAGTCTCCAATATCTATTTTTGCTAACTTGTTTGGTTTGTAAATCAGTTCTTCCGGTATTCTCCAACCATACTTTACATAAAGATGTGTCAGTGGGAAAACCAAAGAAACTTTTATTTGGGTGTGTCACTAATGAACTATAGCAGTTTTTAGCAGCACAAATAATTGTATTGCTCTTACTCATTGTCCAAAAAAGATTATCTCCTCTCCAAGTAAGTTTGCCGCTTCTTTCAATAAGAAAATCCAACATTGGAAGGTAACAGAGGGAATGGGGATTGGGTGAGCTCACCACGCTGAGGGACACACAAGAAGTTCTTGAGGTTCTGATGCACTGCACACACTCGAATGGGAGAATTTAGTGTTATTAATCACTGATTTAAGAGAAAGATGTTTTAAGTGGGGACACTTCCACCACGAGGTGGTCAAAAGACCGAGATTGCCATAAAAACGGCGCAGCACGGCACATACGTCCGATCGAGGAAGGTTTTAGACGCTAACTGAATAAAATCATGGTGGGGAAATTTGAATTTTCCATGAGAGGGAAAGAGACAGAGATAGATCACGCCATATGACATAGGCATCGTATGATTTTAAGGAGAATGTGGGGGAGGGGAATTGCCGTGGTGTGTGTGTGTGTGTGTGTGAGTAGAGTAGAGTACATTTTACAGACTTAAAATAAGTAACTAATATACAAATAAATATTAAACCCTATGCACACTGTTAATTAAATGTTAATAAAATTAATGATTGATGATGAGACTACTAATTACGCTATTTACAGAACTGTACTGAACAATTGGTTTAGGGAAGAAAAGAGGAAAACATTAAGTTTTTCAAGCGTTTTATATTTTTTCTACCTTGTGGAAATACATGCAAGGATATAATGTGTTTCAGTGAGAGGTTATGTTCAACCATAAATTAATGGGTAGAACTACTCCTTTAATCTATGGTTCAACCAACAACTCTATTTGTATTTATTTTTATTAGTTTTACACTGCCTCTGCAAACAATAAAAACAAATGATCCACAAACAAGTAAAAACAAAGACAACAAAATTTAATGCACTTAGCAATCCAAATAGAATATTGTTGATTAAAAAGCAATTTCTTCAATTATATTTAGAGTTTTGTAATTTCCTTCCAAATGCTCCGTTTCAAAATAAGTGCCTGCAAAAAACTCTCCTTAGAACCAATAGATTCAGATAATTTTTGTACATAAAAAAGGAAAAGAAAACTGTATAAATTGTTGTAACTTTTGTGTATCAATTGGACCTCACCAACAAGTTTTGTAAACTTAGCGAGGCCAAGCAGTTGTAATATTTTGAATAAATATATTTGAATTTTTAATTTGATAATTTGTGTATTTCAGGTTTAACTTCAGGGCTGATTTGTACAAGGGTGACATGACTGAACAATACAAACTTAGTCCCAACACAGCTGGGCTGAAATATACAGGTGAGTGTATAAAAGTGTATACAATTGAAAACACGGTATTTAGATGTTATAAGGTTACTTTATTGATATATACATCTTATATGTTTGATACTTTTGGGGGGCACGGCTGGATAATTGTTTAGAGTGTGGGATTTCTGCCCTGAGGGTGTGGGTTCAAATCCCACCAATCGTCAATGGCTTTTATCTTCCCTTATCTCGGTGGTTTTGGATAAACATAGTGTTAATTATTCTTTAAGCAAACCCAACATAAAACTTTGTGCCGTAATATAAAATCCACCCTACCTGGTCAAAACTGGAACAGAATTTGGAGTAAGAGTTTATTACAAGAAAACTAAAAATTATTTTCTAAATTTCTAAACTGTTTAACATTACATTTTAAACACATACTGTAGACTCCCAATTAACATCAAAATAAAACACCAACCAATAATTATTCACATATGAATTCGTAGTTCACCTTTTCATTGGGCGGTCATTAATTGTCCCGTGTTTTTTAGAACAAAGTCCTGATGTACAGTTCGCATTTGAATGACCTGGCTGCAAGCAATTTTTACAAAGTTTGTGTTGTTTGACAGTGGCGATTCTTTCCAATGGAAATTTTGACAGAAATTTAGGGCAAATAAATAGCTTATGATGAGCATTAGCACAGAGCTGGCATTGATTGTTAGTAGCTACATGACTAAAACTAAACCCTTGGCCTTTTGGTAGATTTACATAATGGTTAATCCTACCTTATACCTTTAAAGGAACAGCAACAGGCTTGTTGTCAGATTTGTTGTCATCTAGAGCTTCTAATACCTGGCATCTAATCTGTAAAAACTGAAAAAAACTTTCCATGGAGGGGACTTCTTTAGATGTTTTTTGGTTTTCCCAATGACGTAACGTGAAGGAGTCAAGTTTCTTTGTTAATAAATAGATTAAAATTGTGTCCCATTTGTCGACAGGCTGCTCTAAACTATTCAGACACCTGATATGTTTGTTGATAGTATCTAGGATGCTTCTAAGAAAGGAAGCGTTTTCCCTAGTGGCTGGTTCAATGTTCACTAATGCACTATTATGTTTGTTAACAATGATTTGCTTATTGCCAAATATTTCTTTCAACAACCCCCCTACTGTGGCATAGTTTTGAGAGGGAGGCCTGAAGTGATGATAAAATAGGTTTGACTTTTTCATCCAGAGAAGTTTGGAGGTAGTGAAAATTTTCAACATCTGACAGAGATGGGTTGTTGTGGATGAGCGAATTAAATAGGTCGTGGAACGGCATCCAATCATCATATTGTTCACCAAATTTAGGGAGGTTTATTGCAGGTAGCTTAACACTTGGGGTGGGAGCTGTAGCAGTAGAATTGGTACTTATACTTTCTGGGGTTGGACTGGTAACGTTACTACTAGGACTATTGGGATTGAGAAGGCTGTCAGCCCTTGAAACCAAATCGTAATATTTGTTTGAAAGATTCCCGCTCAATCTCCTGTTCACTTGGATTGGTGCTAAGAATATCGATTTGGGACTGAATGTCCTCAAAATCGTTTGATACTGTTTCGAAGTTTTTGAATCTATATTTTATTTGAGATTTGTCAGCTGTATGCCGAAGAGATTCCATATAGGTGCTGAAACGAGTCAACCGTTTAGTCGACAATGCCTTTAAAGTATCTTCGTCTGTCATTTTTATTCAATAATAAGCTCTCAGTAATAAACAAATGGTAGAAGCAGGGAGTTAAAAATGGATTGATTAGAGAATTAAGGCACTGGATGAAGTCATGACAAGTTGTATAATTGTTGGTACACATTGAAAGGGTCTGATGTAATAGTATGAATGGGTCTGAGGAGGCACCAACCTTGACTTCTCCAGAACTGATCGGAGTTTATTTGCTAAACATCTAGTGCCCAATTAATAGCATTTAATCAAAACCGCCATTTTGATTCTACCAGTCTCCATTTGGGCCTCATACTTGGCCAGTGCAACTAGTAAAATTCAATTACACTGTAGCATCTTTTATGCTATTTGTATAATTCTATTCGAGGAGCTTATTAATAATAGTTTACAATGGAAAAAGCATTAGTTTCTGATTTAGTGTTATGTTATGTTACAGAAGCTGCAGAAGCAAGAACGTGGAGGAGACGGAGAGGGTGGTTAGACAAGTCCAAGTCCACTATAACTACCTGCACGGCTTGCTGCATGGACAGGAGGAGGAGCTGCTGCATCGACAGGAGGAGGAGCTGCTGCTACGACAGGAGGAGGAGCTGCTGCATCGACAGGAGGAGGAGCTGCTGCAAAGACAGGAGGAGGAGCTGCTGCATGGACAGGAGGAGGAGCTGCTGCATCGACAGGAGGAGGAGCTGCTGCATCGACAGGAAGAGGAGCTGCATCGACAGGAAGAGGAGCTGCTGCAGAGACAGGAGGAGGAGCTTCTACAGAGACTGGAGGAGGAGCTGCTGCAGAGACAGGAGGAGGAGCTGCTGCAGAGACAGGAGGAGGAGCTGCTCTACAAGATCGGTGGTGTGAGCGACCAAGAGTTGGACAACAACGTTCAGGTTAGTACAACTGGACATTATATTCCTGTGTTCAAGTTGTTCAAGGTTATAGAAGACAATTAATAATAGAAAGTAAAGTTTTGTCATTGATTTGTCTGCTTAAAATTTGTATGAGCGCTTTCTACGTATATCTAATTAATTTAAGTTCCTCCATTTTATTCTTTGTTCCTTATTACATTTTCTCCGTACAATATGTTCAAAACTCTTTTGAATCCTTTATTTTCAACCTTTTTTTCATCATCAAAAAACCCGCATCTTTTCACTTAACTGCTTTAACAATTTTGATTGATAAAATTTAGTATGCCGTGGTTCTATTAACTCCAAACACAATGGTACGACCCTTAATGTTTTATAAACTAAGGCTCAAAAGTTATTGCAACTTATGTGATTTTCCCCATTAAACACCACAGTTGATAAGTTGTTGTGGTTAGAGTATCATAAGTTGAATGTTGGTATGATTTTTTTATATTTTAAATGTCATATGTTTATATAGTTCCTCCTAGAAGATTGAACAAAAATTACTCGTAGTATTTTTTTTTCCAAAAAACTAAAATTTTTTTTAGAAAATTGTACAAAATATTTTTTATAAAGACTGGTGGGTTGAATAAATCAAAATCCTTTTGGGAGGAACTAGTATGCTATGTCTAAAATATGTGGTAAACATTTGGTTACTCTAGTCCTACAGATAGCTGAGAAAAGTGACATCAAAGTTATAAAAAGCGAACTTACAGGAATCACAGAAAACGTAGGCCCATGTGCAAGAGTCTGAGCAGTTAGTAGTTGCATTGAGTCATAGTCATAGTCAAACTCATCTTTATTGTAACACAAAGTGTTTTTAAATGCTCTGGCACAGCCAGACAAAACAGATGACATTGTCAAACTATACTAAAATAAACTAGCTTATTGGTAAAAATAAATACATAGTAACAAAACAAACAATTTACATTTATTTGTCTTCGAGAAACTGATCTGTACTATAATAATTCTTTTCCAACAAAATTCTAAAAAATTTTCTTTAAAAGATACAAATTAATCCTACTATTGATTTGTAGTACCCAGGCAAATTGTTAAAAATCTTTTACCCATATAAGAAGGTGTCCTTTCCACAAGATTTAATCTGTGTAGGATTACTGTGGAGTTTTTTAAAATTTTATTTCACATACAATAAACATTTAAGAATATACAAATTAGGGACGGTTAGAATCATTATTTCTTTAAAAAGATGTTTGCAAGAATGTTTTACGGGTTTAAAAGTCAAAATTCTAAGTATTCTTTTTTTATGTTTAAAAAGTTTATACGAATCAGAGGTGACGCCACAAAACTATTCCATACTGTAAAATTGATAAAAATAAAGCGTGATAAATCATTAGTCTAGTGTTTAAATCAACAACATTTCTTAAGACCATCATTTGAAAACATACTGAATTTAACTTTTTAGAGGGGTTATGAACGTGATTCTTCCAATTCAATCCAACAATTGGGACCTGGTAGGTAATTTTTTTTAATAATTTTCTTTTACTAACTTCCAGTCAAGCTGGAGAAAAAAATAATTATACTGTAATCAGAAGATTTTAATTAATAATAAAAGACCAAAAAAGGAAAATTTGAATTTTTGGTAATTTTTATGGTCACAGTCCCCTTAAGCTAAGTGTCGAAAATTCAATTTCGTACCTTATTATAGGTAATACCCCTTACAGGGAAATATGAGGTAATTTCCTATATAACAAGGATTAGCTTGGTGGCCCAGTGGTTATAGTGCTTGCCTGGTAATCATGAGGTCACCACTTCAATCCTGAGAAAAATGTGGAGCTTTTTGATGGTTTGAAACTGGACCCATCTGTCTTTGATCGTTGGGCTTTTAATAAATGGGCCTGACTAATAAAACAGCTGGTCTAGGTCAGTAACAAAGCCACATAAGGCGTATCACCCCATTCTACACTCATATTTGGTTTTCCGCACCTATGTGATGTCCCCATCCCAATTGATAATGAATGATAATGATAATAAACTTTTATCATAAGTCTCATAGGAAGACCTAGATCCAGGACTGATTTATTTTTTTTGTTTCGATGTCTTCTGAGCCCAAAACTTTCAAATTTATATAAATGTGTGTGTCCGTTAGCGTGATGACTTGAGTAAATATAATCCAATTTTCATTAAATTTTGTACAAACGTCAAAACGTACGTAGGGATGTAGCATGATCGTACCATGGAAACAGGGTTCTATTGGATCCATGGTGATGGTTTTCGGCGTCAACCGCGTCCTCAGTTATGTTTCACAACCAGACGTTTCACCCTTACTATGAAGTGGCATCCTCAGTGGCTAGGCTGAAAACCATCACCATGGATTTCAATGACAACGGCCGCGAAAGCCTACGCATGAAGGGTTCTATGGGAGGTTATATGGAGTAAAAATGTATTTTTCCATTTTTGACCCCCAATCTAATCAAATCTCTTTATTGTCGAATGACATCTTATCATTAAAGCATTAAACATAGTCATGGAATAAATAACAGGAACCTTGATCTTAAATTATTTAAAAACTTATATCTAAAACCTCCAAGAACAAGAACTTATCTACAGGGTAAAAACTTGTTAATTTTAACAATGAATCAAGGATTTTTTTGAAATTTTTTATAGGAATTGTTACTGCAGAAGGAGGCAATTTATGAAAAAAATTGTATACCAAGATATTTGTAGCTATTGTGTGTAAGTGTAAGTCTTGTTGAGATGATGGCTATTTCTTGTGTAATGTGCATGTATTTCAGATCGGATGCTATACTGGTATGTAAATGTTAACCTAATCAGACACCTAATTTCTTTGTTAATAACATTATTCTTTTAACTTAATATGAGTAATATTTCAAATAAACATATTGAGCAATTTACTAGTATAAAGGTATCACTGTGGGTGTTACAAGAGGGGGCGTGCGGAGTTTTGTTCCGCAATAATGCAATCATACCTATACATTGAAACAAAATACTACTTGCTAATAATTATAAATGAAACAATACAGTACATTTAATCATGTTTATATTTTCGTATGTATAAAATATACACACAGTTTGACAAGAGGCATGAGAAATAAAATCTACGCTACGCGATAGGGCGCACGCGGGGAAAACCTCCCCAAACTGACACCGTGGCACTGAATTGCAACTGACAACAAAATAAGGAGAAATTTGGGGGTAAACATAGCTTAGGGGCATTCCCGGGATAAGGCGCATGAAGTATGGAGCCAGACACGACTGCCGACACCCATTGTGCATAATTTATATTAACAAAAACTACAAGTGCGGAGGAAAACTCCGCAAGCGCCCGCTCGAGGGTTAAAAAAATACCTTCTCTGTACAATCAAACCTAAGTAGCCTACTCATTACAATTGATGATATTTACATCTATAGTTAATATGCCAACACGAAAATTTGTCCGTTGAACTCCTCCCTCATTTCATAACCGATTTTGACCATTCAAGTCTCTCATTGGAAAGAGAGTGTCGTGTTGCATAAATTTGGAAATTTACCTTATATTTTTTAGGCTCTGCCCCAGTGGCTTTTTAAGTTCCCATGTTATCCTTATCAAAAAAGTATTTCTTTACTTAGTCCTTATGATCAGCTGGATAATTTAATTGCTGTTAATATTTAAGTAGCAATTCAAGGAAACAAGTGCTACAAACATTAAATTTTTCTGATTTTGTTGAAAGTAATTAAAAATACCCCCCCCTGCAGCAAACCTGCTTACTAAGCGAATTTTCATTTGTCTGATTCGATATTCACTTTAATATATTTTAAATAACATTAGGTTTAACAAGTACCTAGGTTTACTGCTACAGGGAGAGTATTAAAGTGTGTGTTTTTAATAAAATATTAATAGCTTAGTATAAAATGAATAAATTTGCCATGTTTTATCAATATATATATATATATATATATATATATATATATATATATATATATATATATATATATAAACAAGCAAGTTATAATAATATCCAGTATTCTCCATAAGAATAAGATAAAAATTCTAAATTTACAATTTTTTAAATCTTGTTTGTAAGCAATAATTGTTAAAAATCACTTATAATATACCAATTTTTAAAGTTTTTTTAAGCTCTTCAAAATGGTTTTGAGAGAAATTCGAAAATTGTATCTTAAAATAAGAAATAAAATAATAATATCCAAACGACTGCAAGAGATGTTCATGATTTTGCCTTGACCACGAGAGACAATGATACTGTCCACAGGTCCCCGGGAGATGATTTGAATCTTGCCACGATTGCGGAAGAGGATGATGATGTTTCTGTTACAGCAGGAGATATTCAAGATTTTGCCGCTATCGCAGAAGAAAAAAATAATTTCCAACAACTATCATGCAATATACATGGTCAATATAGTGTAACAAATATACTATATATGTTAAAAACTTCAACTTATGTCAAATATTGTGTTCCAGTTCTTCAATGCACAAGGCTTCAGACTCTTCCCTCTGAAGACGTGCTGCTTGGCCACATTTTTAGTCCAGCCGGGACTTTGAGGGATCCTAGATGAACCTTGTGTGAACCATGCGGAACAGAGAATAACTTTAGGTTTGAAACCATCCATTTAACAATACATTTTAACTGTAGATTAATATGGTTTAAGAAAAAATATTGTCCTACAGGATCAAATCCAGTCATTAACAATCTGATAATGTTATCCTGGTAGTTAAGGGGTTATCCTAAGCTGACTTAAGAGTTAGGTCTTCCAGGCTAGATGAAGCTTTAGTCCAATAATTGAAATTCCGAAGTAATTGGGACCAAACTATTCAAATTGTTCAGTAGGCAGACATATAGTAAAATTTAATAACAAGTTTAAAGCAAAGTATTTTTACGACTGTAAATGGCCATATACTACTCCTACGATCACGACAACACTGAGTTAACCACCGAAATTTGTAACCATTTTTAACCTGTTTAAAAAAAAGGGGGATTCTTCAGTTTTGGACAATTATCGGCCTATCTCCATCCTCCCTACTTTCGCTAAAGTATTTGAGAAGGTAGCTTTAAACCGATTATCTTATTTTTTTGAGAGCAATCACATATTTTGTGAAAACCAGTTTGGTTTCAGGAAGGGTAGAAATACAACTAAGGCAATTTATGAGTTTGTTTCGGGCATTTCGGAGGCTGTTGACAGATCGCAGTACACAGTCGGAGTGTTCTGTGATCTGTCAAAGGCCTTCGACTGTGTTGACCATGACTTGCTCATGAAAAAATTGAATCACTATGGGGTGAGTGGTAATGCACTTCTCTGGGTTCAGTCCTATCTTGATAATAGGAAACAATCAGTCAAAATAAATAATATTGTTCAAAGTAATTATTCCATTGTTAAAGCTGGTGTCCCTCAAGGATCAATTCTGGGGCCATTCCTTTACTTAGTCTTTGCTAATGATCTACCAAATGCAGTTCATAACTCGAAATTAATAACATATGCAGATAATACTACTCTTTTATGTAAACACCCCATCTGGGTTAATTTATTTAAAATGCTAGAAAATGACTTATCTGCTATGAATTCTTGGTTTAAAGCTAATGGCCTTCTTTTAAATAAAAATAATACTTTGCTATTAATTTTCATTCCAACTACTCCAATACAAAATACTCTGATGCCTCTTATGTCAATGTCAAACCCTTATTGCAGACAGCAGATAGTTATAAATTCTTAGGGTTACACGTTGATCCTTCCTTGAAGTGGAATGAGCATGTAAATATTTTATCAAAAATTCTCCATAAAGGTCATTTTCTAATTCTAAACTTATAAAAAATCCTGGAGATAAACATTTTGAAAATGGTTTACTATGCATATGTCTATTCAAACTTAACATATGGAGTGATATTTTGGGGCAACTCACAGTCTTCTTCGGCAATATTTAAGATTCAGAAAAGCATTGTCCGTTCTATGACAAATTCCCCCCATACTGCATCAGCCAAACCAATTTTCAGGAAATTAGATATTCTGCCTGTACCTTGCATTTTCATTCTACATCCCCTTCTATTTGTTAAAGAAAATTTTCACAAATTCACTCTTTTAAAATCTACACATAACTATCCTACACGTAATTGTAATCTTTCTTTGCCGATACATCGAACAGCAGCTTTTGAAAAGACACCATTCTATACAGGCAGCCGATTATTTAATAAACTACCTTCTCATATTCGCAATGAATCTTCTGCCAAAGCATTAAAAAGAAAACTTGTTAACTATCCAAAGAGCCATATGTTTTATTCAGTAGAGGATTTTATTTTATATAGTAATAGTGGTTTGTAAAATGGTTCATGTGGAGAGTTTGTTTTCTCATTATGTTTAAGTTACATTTTAATTTAGTTTTTAACATTTTTGTATCATATTTTTGACATGTCATCTACCATTGAGGAAACTCCTCTGTATATGGTGTAATTTGTGAAAATTTACATGAATAAATGAATGAATGAATAAATGAATAAATTTCCCTGCAGACTAAGCGAATTTCCTAGGTTTACTGCTACAGGGAGAGTATTAAAGTGTGTTTTTAATAAAATTGCAACGCTCTCTTTCTCGCACTGGAAAAATATTACAAGTAAGTGCAGTCGCAAACGTTTGCCGGGGATAGCTCAGCCTACAATGGCTGGGTAAAGTTCTAGGGTCTGCGATAAGGTCAGGGAAACCACTAGGCCAATAGCTGGGTCTAACCGGTATAGGACTGGCTCATACACGGGCACTGTGAACAAGTCAAAACAAGTCACCAAAACAAACGTGCAATAATCACTACCAGGCCTACGCTGATTCCCCACACTCCTAGGGGGTCGTTGCTGACTACGCAACTCGGGCTTCATCCTAACTATCCAATAGTTAAGCCCAAAGTGCCTAAAACACAGTGAGTTACACGACGACTTGCCAATAAAAACCACAACGCGAGTTATCACCAGGCGGGGTCTACTAGGCCACTAAACTACAATACACAACCATACCATATAATAGTACAAGTGTATACTATAGGCAGAGTGACACTAAACCTCTAGTAGCTGGTCTCAATAAATACCAAGCTAAACAAGCAAAACTAGATGTCAATTGCACTACTATTAAATTAGCAACTTAGTTGCAGATAAATAAATATTAAATACGTTCCAAACACTAGATAAATATGTTATCTGATAGCCGGTACTCCGCTATCCAAGTTACCAAGGTAACATGTTGGATTACTAAACAAGCTGTTCAGGTCAAATTGAAATAATCAAATGATTAATCAATAACAACCCTACTGCTACTAGTACTACTGCTACTATATCAACGTTATATTACTTAGCTGGGCTTCTGTTAATAGGCTAATAAAATTAGCTACTAGCCTACTGGCCGCGTGCTTCCAACTACGCACGCCAAATCGTGCAGCCTAGGTTTGTCGGGCCTCAGAGTTATTAGTAATGTAACGAACTCTTGGTACAACGCAAAATAATATCTACCACAGTCAATAAATTATATTATTTGCGCTCTAGCGCCTGCCCAGAACCGTCAGGAAAATACTTTAATATTATTCCTGACACCTGTAAATACTAACTACCATCAGGCTTTGACCAGCACGGTTAGAACTCTAACTCTCGCAATCAAATCAGAGATGAATGTTTTTAATGTCAACTATCAACTCATAAACCAAAATATAGTAAAACGTCGTCCACTCACCACAAGTGGGTCACTACCCAACTTGAACGCCGACACTCACTGTCACACCGCACAACACCAACGTACTCCAGTACACCAAACGTCGTCTCAGCCAGACACCAACACTACCTTCCTCACTGTACGGGATCCACCACTAGAATGTCCGTCCTAGGCTATCCTGAGAAACTCGGATATCCCAGGCTTATCGGTACTGATAAGCTGGGTCAAAGGGCGCTCGCTAGCTTCGCCGTCGCCGCTTGCTTACTTCAACAATCGGTGCGGGGCCAAATAACAAATATTTACCCCCCTAGGAAAAAGGCTCGTTATAAAATATTAATAGCTTAGTATAAAATGAATAAATTTGCCAAGTTTTATGAAAATATATATGTATAAACAAGCAAGTTATAATAATATCCAGTAATCTCCATAAGAATAACATAAAAATTTTAAATTTACAATTTTTTAAATTTTGTTTGTAAGCAATAATTGTTAAAAATCATTTCAATATATACCAATTTTTAAAGTTTTTTAAAGCTCTTCAAAATGGCTTTGAGAGAAATTAGAAAATTGTATCTTAAAATAAGAAAAAAAAAATAATATCCAAACGACTGCAAGAGATGTTCATGATTTTGCCTTGACCACGAGAGACAATGATACTGTCCACAGGACCCCGGGAGATGATTAGAATCTTGCCGCGATTGTGGAAGAGGATGATGATGTTTCTGTTACAGCAGGAGATATTCAAGATTTTGCCGCTATCGCAGAAGACAAAAATAATTTCCAACAACCATCATGCAATATACATGTCAATATAGTGTAACAAATATACTATATATGATAAAAACTTCAACTTATGTCAAATATTGTGTTCCAGTTCTTCAATGCACAAGGCTTCAGACTCTTCCCTCTGAAGACGTGCTGCTTGGCCACATTTTTAGTCCAGCCGGGACTTTGAGGGATCCTAGATGAACCTTGTGTGAACCATTCGGAACAGAGAATAACTTTAGGTTTGAAACCATCCATTTAACAATACATTTTAACTGTAGATTAATATGGTTTAAGAAATAATATTGTCCTACAGGATCAAATCCAGTCATTAACAATCTGATAATGTTATCCTGGTAGTTAAGGGGTTATCCTAAGCTGACTTAAGAGTTAGGTCTTCCAGGCTAGATGAAGCCTTAGTCCAATAATTGAAATTCCGAAGTAATTGGGACCAAACTATTCAAATTATTCAGTAGGCAGACATATAGTAAAATTTAATAACAAGTTTAAAACAAAGTATTTTTACTATAAATGGCCATATACTACTCCTACGATCACGACAACACTGAGTTAACCACCAAAATTTGTAACCATTTCCCGCAGTTGCATCTTCTTACTTTAAGATAACCTTCAAATAGTTTAATTTCAACTGTAAATTGTATTGTTCAAAGGGTGTAAATATTATTAGTATTTTGGAAGCAATATGAAATTATATTGTAGATTTTAACCCCCGATAGTAAAAATACTTTCTTGGCTTAAATATCTAGGTACACTAGTTAAGCTTCATGTAATAATGCACAATAGCCAATTGATTGTCACTTGGTGGAGAAAAAGAAACACTTGAATACTGTGTGTTGAGCTGATATCAACTGAAGTTCAGTATCTCATAATCATCTCAGAGATTGGACGTGTAACGATGTGTTGTAATTCAAATTGATCTTTCAACTAATTAAAGTAGTTTTGACTACAAAAGATAATTAATTTTGTAAATTTAAGAAATATCAAATAAATTTTAATATTTACCTAAATGGAGTCATAACCCTAAGTAGGCCTGATTATTATAATTATACAAAATTCTTTTCACTTCTGCTCATCACCTAAGAGCTCTCAACAACACCACAGAAAATTGTTTATATGTATTAGGATCTGCAAAACATTAGCAATTCGCTACTGCTCAGTGTTGTCAAATGTTAGGTAATTCTAGGCTTACAACTTGTTTGAGAAAAGTTTAGAAATCCGGCATTACTGCAGGCAGCTAACAAGTTAATCTCAAAAATTATATTTTATGCTTAGATTGGACATACAGTATGACATTGAATGGATTTTACAAGAGGGTAGGGTGTCACTTGGGCTTGCAAGGTTGGTGTAACTTACTACTATAGTCTTAGCAATTTGGGAATGTCCCTGGACACCAGGTCAGTTCCCCTCACACACACGCACACTCACCCTCACGAGCAGAGAGGATTAGGACCGACCCTAGACTGGCCGTACTTTCGCTTCATTAGTTCTTTTAGATACCACTTGTAATCAAAATGTGGCTTTTTATTTAATGTTGTAATTTCAAATGGAAACGGTTAATACATTTAAATTCCCCTGAAAATTACAATTAAAACGATACGAAACAACCCATGATTTACTTAAATATTCCTTCACATAACATAACTGCAATATATTCCAGGTTTTATAAAAGCTACATTGTGTTTGGTATCAATTTTCTCGTGTTGAGGAGCAGAATCGATCACTGCTAACTATTTTAAGTTATTTAAGTTAACAAGTTTTACATTTGATAAATGAAATGCCACTTGTGACTAATTAACGGAGCGCAGGACAGAATGTGGCCGGTCCTAATCCCCTGTCCTTGTGTGTGTGTGTGTGTGCGCGTGAGCCTACGTGGCCTTCAGGGACACTCACACAGGTATACAGAATTACTATTGTTTTGTTACTGTGTAGTTTTACATTTGACCTTGCAATGAGAAGTGAAAACATATACATCTCCCTATTTATTCAAAATAAAGTAGTCACCCTATAATATCAAAATTTGAAGAGAAGAACTATTTCTAACTCCCCGCATTTGATTAAGATGTAAAAAAGGACCATAGAAGTTAAGTAATTAATTTTTGGATCTGAGAATTTGTGTGTTTTTATGATAAGAGCAGGGTGTCTAGTTGTCGGGAAAAACGGGAAAGTCGGAAATTAGTGTTGAATTTCAGAATGGTCTTGAAAAGTCGGAATTAAGTCTTTATTTTGATATCAAATTTGGGATTTTTCATGATTTTGCCGCAATCGCGGATGACGGCGATGGCGTTTCTGTGACAACGAGACACGACGAATGATGTCCACACAGCCACAAAATATGTTCACGATTTTGCAGCGCGGACCACGACGATGACGTTTCTGTGACCGCGGCATGTAATGATGATGTCTACATGGCCGCAGGAAATGTTCATAATATTTTAGCGATCATAATAGACGACGATGATGTTTCCGTGACCGAGGGAGACGACGATGATGTCTATGTGGCCACGGGAGATGTTATGATTTTGCAACGATTGCGGACAACAACGTTGACGTTTCCGTGTCTGTGGCAATCAATGATGATGTGTAAACGGTCACAGAAGATTGTCATTATCGAATAAAACCCAATTTTGCTAGTTAGAGTTTTTCATTGTTGTATTTTTTTCTTTACTGAAAAAACACTCCATTATCTTAATAATACAGGGTGCGGCAAAAAAACCGATCCATTTTCTGCAGTGCACTGTTCAGTGACAGGTCGTCTGAGGGTGTTGGGAGTAGACTCGTTGGAAAGCCCATACAATGCAATTTTTTGTAGTCATAGAGCAGTGGTCGTATGAGCTATGTACGGTTGTTATCGAGTTGTTTTTAAAAAGAAATGATTTAGTCATTGCAACTCAGCGGCAGTTCCGTGCGACGTAGAGAGGTTCTGTCGTGATTATCTGTATGGATGGTTACCAAATTATACAGATCATTATTCCAATCCATAGGGATGAAAATTAACCTCAACATTTGTGAAACTGAGCGGTCAGACATGTCCAAGGCAGCCGCTTGTTTTTGGGCCTACGAGGACTGTTTTCCACAGCAGCACGAACTCTATCGAATGTTTGTTGTCTGGCGTCCGATCTGACTTTGGAAGGCCTGTCAGCTTCTTTTTCAACGCAGAAGCCGTTGTCCTAAAGTAAGTAAACCACCGCATTATTGAGCTACGCAACGGGACTTCTCCATGTCGCCTTAATTGAAAAAATGTATGAAACTGCCGCTGTGTAGCAATGAATGAATTCACTATTTTATAAAAACGACTCCATAACAACTGCACTAGCTCAGGTGACCACTGCTCTATGACTACAAAATATGTCATTGTGTAGGATTTCCAACGAGCCTACTGCCACCCCTCGCGGACAACCTGTCGCTGAACAGAGCTCTGCAGAAAATAGATCGGTTTTTTTGCCGCACCCTGTACTTTATGGTATAAAGACAGGGTTTGGTGTAGTATAACCAAATTATTTAGAACATTTGGTTAAACTATAAAATATGGTATCAGTATCAAGAATTGAGAATTTATATATTTTGGTATCAACACATCACTAATTGTTGAAAAACTAGTCGTGAAAATCTGGAATTAGTCTTGAATTTTAAATTGGACATAAACTAGACACCCAATAAAATAGAACCAAAAAATTGAATAACTATTTATACAGTTTACTTTTTTTCATTTGGTTCGTGATATAGGTTTCTACAAAACAAAGTCAAGTCCCCTAAGCTTCTAGAAAACTTAAGCAATGACCTTGTTGATATCAACATGTATATCTCTGTGAACGTGAATCAATAAAAGTCCTTTCAATCTCTCCTTCCGTCATGCGAGTATGATGCCAGGTCTTGCCACGCTTGACAAAAAACTGTGTTCTGCTGATCATTAGCACGCGTATAGTGGCTAGTATTATATAAAGGTCGATTGTCGATTCACACATTACCATTACGGCACGTCTCAGTTCAGTCATATCAGTCACGGCACAGTCAACCACAATATTCTTTAATGGATTTTCTATTTCCTTATCTACACTCATCCGGCGCAGGTCCGTCAGTCAATTTCAGATTTCTTTACAGTTTACAACGATATTCTTAGATTGTTCAGACGCCTGACGGACATGTTTCAGGTTAGAAAATAGTGCTTTTTTTATTTGATTGATTGTGTTTATATTTTGAGCAATGTTTGTAACAATCAACAAGATTGATATACCATCTTAGTATTGTAGTACGATAATTTGATAGAATTTTGGGTTTTAATTTTAAAATTTTTACTAACATCATAGTAAATTAGAGACTGATTGAAACCAACTGACGGAAAGTTGGCCGAGGAATTGTGGATGCACCTGAGACTGAACTGTGGCTGAACTGTGACAGAACTGATATGAAGATATTATATGATATGAAGATCATATAAAGATGTAATAGAAAATTACATACTGTGAAAGTGATGCATATTTTTAGTGTTCCAGACATGCATGAAGACTCTGAGACTGTGGTTGATATTTGAGACGAGGCAACAGAAGCAGTGTGTGTCGCAGTGTCATGAGAGGGCCACATAGTCAGGGATTGAGGAGCTCAACAGCAGATAGGAGCCGCTCACCACAAACAAACACCAACAACCTAACAATGTACATGTTCTCTTTGGATTTGAGAAAGCAAAGTGGCAAATATTGCTCTTAAATTGTATATATTTTTTACTTTCTAAGCTTATAGTATGTATTTTTATGTAGTCATGTAGTTAGTATTAAGCCTAGTGTAGTTTATGTATATATGTTTTGACTTTGATAGTGTGTATTTGTATATAGTTATTTAGTATGTATATAGTGTGTTTTATGTATATATGGTTTGTTTGTTTCACTGAATAAGTGTGTACCAAATATTTAAGCTCTATCTGTATTATTTTTTTAAATATTTCCAATATTAAAAGTATATTATGTAACAGATAATTTCATTGTCTGATTTCCTGTCTACCTTCAGCGCACAAGGTTTACTATAGTTTGTATCAAGGAACCTGTCCTCTGGCTTCCTGGGGACGATTCAATGGTTTAAAACCTAGGTCTGGTCAACCTGTCTTCTGACTCTCTGTCTACCTGGGGACAAGTCAAAGGTTTAAAACCTAGGTCAGCTCTTGGTAGACAGAACGTTAGGCGTCAGGTTCCTTATGACAGATTATAGGTAATTTTGCGATCAGAAACATGGATTGGTTTTGATTTTGTCATTTTCTTTCATTATCAGTTTGTATGAAGATCTATCACTATTACATAAAAATATTAATTTGTTCAAATATCCAAAAAATCTTAAACTTAACTTTTTTGTTCAAAATGTTCACAAATTGTAAAATAAAAAAAAACATCTAGTTTACAAATAAATAGAAATGAAGTGTTTAATATTTGTACTTAATACTTTATACTGAATATTTGTTAACTTTAGGAACTATGGAAATATGGGAGATGTAACCAAATTTTGAAAATGTTTTTCCATATTTTATGTGAACATTATTTAAACATTCCTCTTTGCGACATTATTTAAATTTAGAAGATAGAACAAACAAAATATATTGCATACACTGATGTATTTTTCAGTACCGGTAAGGAAAAAGTACAAATAACAAACACAGCAGGTATTTGAAAATAATTTGCCAACATTGGCAACATTTTATGAAAGTACACAATATCAGAAGTGTTAAGCTGTGCCTAGCTATGATACCAACCAGGTCACCCGCACTGCTAGCGAGCGACATCTATCTGAGGTACCATATGTGATTAAGTATCATGTTAAAACTGTAGTACTGTTTGATTTAACCTCCTGCCTAGTATTGTTCCCAGTTTTATGTGGTTATCACTCTAAATAACTGTTATTAACAAATACAAAATTTTACGTTACATTTGCAAATTGTGTGTAAAATCTCAAGGAATGTGACTGTTTGCCCAATGGTTTCCTGGATGTCAAGTGAAATTGCGAGGATTTTTAGTTCTTTGAAGGATTCCCGGCTGTTTTCATGTTAATGTAGTCCTGTTAGGCATCTGATTGCTCTTTTTTGTAGGGTAGGATCTTTCCCATGTTGGATGCTGATGTTCCTACCCATGACACTATTCCGAATCTTAAGTGGGTTTCAAAAATAGCAGAGTAGGCAACTTTAGCTACCCCCAGGCCACATATTTGTTTGATTCTACGAATTACATGGGTACTTGACGAGAGTTTCTTGCCAAGTTGGTTGATGTGTGGCTTCCATGACAATGTTGAGTCAATTGTGATACCTAGGTATTTGGTTGTGTTACTTACTTCCAGGTCAGGGAAAGGTGCTCAAGTTTGTCGTTCAATTTTTGTGTTAAAAACTATTTGTACTGTTTTATTTTCATTTAAGACTAGGTCATTGTTTATACAGTAGTGTTGAGGCATGCGATCATATTTGTTTAAAGCATTTTTTAGTAGTTTTAATAGAGATGGTAAGCACGGTATGGTCTGCGTACAGTATAGTAGAGCAGGCATCATCCATGCAGTTTGGCATATCATTTGTGAGGAGGAGGAAGAGCACTGGCCACAGTACAGATCAGTCACCCCTCTTTTTACATCAGTTGTTGGAGATTGAATTTTATAGTTTGTGTAATTTTTGATTGATTTATTTCTACCAGTTGCTTTCTTCTCTTGAGGTAGCATTTAAACCATTCTGCTTCTTTACCTCCTACTCCTAGAGCTCTTAGTTTCTGTTGTAGTAGCTGGTCGTGATTGAGCCAATCAAACAAAGGTTTTGCTAAAGTCAAGAAACAGGCTGGTCACTGAACATCCTTCCTCTAATTGGTCTATGATTTTATCTGCCAGCTGTATCAGGGCTGTTGTTATCGACCTAACCCTGAGGGAACCGTGCTGTTTATTTCAGAGTAGGTTATGCTGTTTGTGAGGGTTTAGGAGTCTAGCAAAGTACAATTTTCTCGATTATTTTTTAAAATGTTGGGATAAGGGATATTGGTCTATAGCTGCCAGGATCACTTTGTGCCTTGTGGTCTTTTTTTATATTTCGGGTATATTATTTTGGCGGTCTTGGGAAAATTCCTTGCTGTAGGGATTTATTTATTATAATAGTGGGTGGTATTGTCAGTTCTTTACATCTTTTTTAACCAGATTTGCAGATAATTCATCGATGCCGGAAGAGGTTTTTGGTTAAGGAGTCTATATAGTTTTTTTTACTTCTTCAAAAGTTGCTAAATGGAATTGATACTGCTCATTTGTGGCTGGCGCTAGGTCAGGGTATGTGAGATTAGTGTTGCTAATGTTTGTTTGGTGTGTGTTTTCTGCTATTGTTGCAAAATATACGTTAAGGGAGTTTGCTATTTCATGTGGGTCCAAGGTACTTATTCCATTTAGCTGAAGGCTGAGCTGGTAATTTGTATTGCATTTCTTTCATTATGTATTGCCTGCCATATTGCTTTTGATTTATTTTCTGCTTCATTAATGTATGCTGAGTTTTGTTCTCGCCTCAGTTGTTTCAATCTCAGGTCGTATTCTCTCTCTCTTTCCGGTGTTTGTGCTTTGTGTCTTGTCAGGCCAGTACGTTGTTCTATTTCTAGAGCACTGATGTACACATTTTGCAGTCGGTTGCATTCATCATCCCAGACCTGTTTTTTTTTATTTTGTCTTCCTTTGAGTAGTTTCAGAGGGCAGGTTTCGGTCAGTATAAGCTGTAGTATACTGTGGAAGGAGTTGTAGGCAAGGTTGATGTCCTCTTCCGTCAGGATCTGATCCCATTTTTGTGTTTTAAGGTTTTCCTTAAATAGTGTTAATTCTCTATTGGTAAATAGTCTTTTTCTTTCCTTATAGTGTTGGGGATTGGTCAGATAAGCCTGTCAGGATGATAGAAGTTTGTATGTTAGTACAGATCCAGTTTGTCGATTTTTCTGTGTCACTTGTGATTCGTGTAGGAGGGAGGTTCATTTCCTCAAATACTCGATAGTACTAATTTGTGTAGACACCAATGCTCAGATGTTGATCAGCTAATTGGTAATGAAGAATTGGAAACAGGGATTCCAGCTTAGGAGCTTTTTGTCTGTTTGGATTGCATTACAAAAATACCCTAAATAACTTCTTGATCAGCATTGTACGTGTTATTAAATTTACGGAAAGTAAATCAAACAAACGTCTCATAACACTTATACTGTTACACACAAGACGGTAAATATACAAAAAAGGTGGTAAGTGGTTAACTTACCACCTTTTTTGTATATTTACCGTCTTGTGAGTAACAGTATAAGCGTAAATATATGTTTTAAGTGTTATGAGACGTTTCTTTTATTTACTTTCCGTAAAAATACCCTGTACTAAATAATGTTTTATACATGAAGTGGATATATCAATAAAATACGGATTACTACTATATCAGATTAACGTTAGTTTTACTACTTCTGCACTTTCTTGTAATATTCGTATCTGAGGATATACAGGTACTGTGAGATAAGTATAAACTATTTCAACGCCCACTTATAGCCAGAAAAACTTTAAATAACCTATGTCAGAGCCTATACTGTAAATGCTACCATTTGGGACCTGTAGGTAAATCGACCAATGGCAGGCTACAAAAGCGATAAATAGATTTAATTTATCATAGCAGCTTTCTATGTAGGTCTATTGCTGAAACATAGCTTAACACAATGTGTACCAATGATATTGATATTTGTTGTTACTTGTATCTAATTTCGTTCTGAGTATATTTGATTTTGATTCATATTTTACAAGATAAGAGAACTGGTGCCTTTGAACTGTGCTTTGAGAAATTCTCGCCTGGTCCAGATTGAATCAGGCAGCTTTGGTCTCAACCACTGTATGCAAAAGAGACCTCTTAGACAACCCTGAAACAGTTGACAAGAAAAGATCGCAGTAACAATGAAAACAGTGCTGCTTACAAAGTAGAGTAAGTTTTCAAAATAATTTCTCCATCAGTATGATACTTGTGTTATCCATACAGATTGCAAATGAAAAATTTAATAACTTCTTTCTAGGTTATATATTTACACTGAAGCATTTGTTTAAAAGAAATAGAGTAAAGACCCAGAGAAGATACAGAAGAAACATTCAATGATACGTACACTTAAGTGGTTTGTAGCACGAGTCGCTGGTGTTTAGAGCAAATTCTATTCTTCATCCCATTCTGCTCTCCTTTCCTCCCTCGCTATCATGTACTAAAGCGCTCACGCGGTAGGAAGATCCCGTTGCTACTACAACAGCTAAACAAATATCCTATGTGGCCATCACCGTTTGGGCTCTTCCTACCTCGATAATAGTAAATTTCCACACCAACATACCATGGTTACAGGCGCACAGTTATCCCATGAACATGTATCCTCTGTGTCTTACATCTCTGTGAGCTAGCTTGCCTTAGAAAATTAAGAGTCCAGGGCTAACAGAATTGCAAAAAATAACACAGATATCATATTTTGTCCTGATGTAGGTTTTTTTCAGAAAGTAGATTGAAGAGAAATTATTTCTCCTTAACCTGAACGTGTATTTCTTTTTGTTTTCAACTTACTTTCTGAAAAAGTCCTACATCAGTACGAAATACCAGTGTTATGTTTTTTGTTCATTTATTGTGTTTCTATTAGCCCCTGGACTCTAAATTTTCTACTCTAAGCAAGCATTGAAGAGTGAGAGTGAAGTTATTCCCCAGAAGTGTAGTGTTGACCGCGCTGCCAGTGTGTCATTTGCTCCCGTGGATCCAAATAGGCCTAAGAATAATGTTTAGCTTTAATAAGACTGCCAAGCAAGAACCACAAAAAGAACCATCAATTTTAAATGTAAATCCTTCACTCTTGTTTCTAAATATCCAAGGCTTAAAAAATAAAACATCGATTTTAGAGTCATTTGTACTTAGGAATAATATCTCCGCTATTGGTCTAACTGAACATTGGTTAAAAACAGAAGAGGTTGCTTTAGCTTATCCTGA